CCCCTTTCGATGAAAGGAATGATCAGGGAATTAACATCGACTGAAACTCATTGGCCTACTAACTTACACTCTACTGGAACAGAGCATTAAATCTTGAGAGATGCAAAAAATTTAGAAGGTCTAGATATAGAGATAAATAGAATTATTCTCTTTTCCGATTTCGTGGTTGTATACTCCTGAATTTCAAAGGTGTGGAAACAGTACGCACGGCTAGTGAACGGAAATCTATCATCCTTATCTCTCCTCCTTCTTTATCTATCCTCCTTTTTTTTTATCTCTCCTCCTTCTTTTTCTTTCCTCCTTCTTTATCTCTCTTCTTTCTTTTTAGTGTTTGTTTATCTCTTGTAACACTTCTAATCCCCCCCCCCAAAAAAAAACCCCTAAGGCAGTGCCACTGACTGAAGTTGTCTTTAGACCATTCCCAAAGGGGGATACTAACATGTTCTTATGCACAGTGGAATTATAAATGGGCTTTTTTGTATCAATGTCATGCTCATACTGTGCCGGAACAACAGAGGGGGAACTGCTGCTTTTTCTTTCCTCATTGTAACTATCGTCATTTTCCCTCTACGGCCATTGACGTCAAAGTCCAGCAGGATATCAAGTGAACTAACAGCGCGTCTTGTTATCTCAAATCGTCTACTAAATGTTCAGTGGTGGACACCCTGATAGCCTCTCCCCTTCCTAGTAGACCGACTGCTCCCTTCTGAACTCCCTGTTTAAGGTTATTTAATAGATATTCTAAACCAAATCTTCAACGCAGTTGTTTTTGTAAAAATACAATTTTTATTATTTATATTTTGCTTTTCAAATAATGAATTTTCCAAAAACAAAATTACCAAAGGTTTACAAAAGGTCATATTTTTTCCCATGTGTAGGACAAAGATAATCAAAAGAAGACACACGAAACCAACCAAAATTGTATTTTACAAAATTTTAGGCTTTCTTAAAAAAGGAAAACTCTGCGTAATTCAAAGAAAAAACAACTATTTGTGAGGCAGCGTGGTGGAATCAGGCTCTCGTCAAAATAATTAAAGTGAAGAAGCTTACATTGTTCCGCAGGTTTGTGAATTTTTATCAAATTTTTGTTTTTTGGCTCAACACATTTCATGCTCATTAAAGAACTCTTTTCTGTGTGGAATTTTCTTAAAAACGTTGATGAAAGGCTCAAAAAGCGTAAAATTTCAGTTACCACAAACTTTTAAGCTAAGGAAGTAAAAAATCTTTGGCGGCCATTTTTTCACTAATTTTACCTCTGAAAACAGGTGACCCTCACCTCCTTCTTTCGCAAATATCTCGACTTTTATTTAAGATAACTGGACATTTTTTTCACCAAATATAGACAAGTAAACAGGCTTTAATATGGTACCAATAACTCTATATGCCCAAAATTTTGACGACAGCCTGATTCCACCACGCTGCCTCACATTTGTCTTTAAGACCATTATGAGCATCATCATTTAAGAGTAAGATATCATTTTAAGTCAATGAAACATCACTACCTCTACATAAGAAAGCTGCGTTTAGAAAACTCAATTTTCTTGCATTGTCATGGTTTTCTAAAAATTTTTAAAAAATACCAACTTTAGGCCTAATACAGATTTCAAAATACGCGTTATATCAAAATGTTCACCAATACATGTATAAGACCTATTTAATTGAGCTACAGGAATGCTCTCAAGTAACCAAACAGTTTGCCTCGTTAGGTCAAGTATATATGACTACGTGTCGATTTACGGTTTTTTAAAAGTACCGTTCTTTTCCCCAAATGATTTTTTATTTTTGTGTCTCAAATCTAACAAAAACAAACAAACAAACAAACCAGCCAATAGCAAAATCAGTAAACCATGAAACAAAAAATAAAATTAAAGCAAAGCAAAATAAAGCAAAACAAAATAAAGCAAAACAAAAATGCAAGAATAATAAAAAGGTAAACTTTGAGGGAGGAACAAACAATGACCTCAAATAATTCAATTATCATTTCAAGAACTGGCCAACACTATCTTGGAGAACAAAGGCAAGACTTGTAGACGCTAACAACACTTGATCAAGGCCGCAAGCACTTCTCATGACGTGCTCCTCGTCATACAGCTTCCGTCAAAGCTCTCAAAATGTGCTTTTGGTAGTCTCAAACACAGAAGTTTTACACCATTCTGCAGCAATCTGTATTGCAATCATATCAGATTGGTAGGTGTGAAGATCCTGCATCTATGTGTAGACTAGTTCTTTTTCTATAACAGTCCAGTTTGTGTGAAAACTTTTAAAAATTCAAAAGACTCTCTACAGACATCGAGCTTTCAAACAGAGATAAAGTTTGAAGCTGAAGGTGTAGCAGCTTTAATAGACGTTTTGTTTATTAAAACGGACAAAAAATTCGATTATTGAGCTCAGAAAAGAAAGTCAGTGTTTCAGTAATATCTCTGACAAAAATTATGAATTTCGCTCTCACCTGTCCAGGTCTTTTCACGCTTCGCTCGTCCACTTGTATACCGCATAGATTATTTTGTAATCTTTTAAACCTAGATTTACTCAATAAATCTGGAACGTGAAATAATGGTGTGCAACGTAGGAACATCGTTTTATTGTTAGTTTGAAAGAAAACGTTATGGACTGAATGTTTAGACCTTCTATCTGTCAGCGTTTTCCAAGCTCCTCTGCACAGGGTTTAGACTATTTACAAAAGATCATTTATGAATAGCTACAAGTATAATGAATAATACGCAGTATCACACAAATACACAATCCACTCAGCTTTATTGGTAGCCCGTTTTTTTAAATTGATTTTTTAAATGTTTGCTTATTTTTCTTTGTTGTGTGTTGTGATGTGTGGTTTGTTGTTTTGTTGTTGTTGTGTTTGTTTTTTTGCTTTTTTAAAAATAGGACACATCCAAGATCCCCCCCCCCAATCACGAGTGTACTAGAAACGTGCCCTCCCCCCCTCCATCATTGTGAACCTAAGCCCACTAAGCACTCCGCCAGTGGAACCCACTAGAACTTGTTTGCCCAGCTTAACCCTATCCATACACCCTGGGGTTGTTTTGTACTCCCGGGTTGTATTCTTCACATTTGATAATACTTTCAGTGCGAAGATCTCTTTGAAACGTTCAGTATTTCTCAAAAAATCATTTTGACAGACTGCTATGCAAAGCGTACCGATCGGATTAACGAGTAAATTTCCTCTTTGGAAAGTGATAGCAGAGAGTTCCCCACGTCGTATGGGTACGATAGTAAAACACGACGTACGGATAGGGTTAAAGTATACAATATTATTACATTCATGTTCTCACTTCTTTTTATGTGAGAATCACAAACCAGTAGACTTCTTGCTGTCATCACCCTTTATATTATAATGGCATCCATGGTAAAAAGCGCTAGATCTAGATCTAATTTTGACAAAACTAAGAAAAATGGAGGAACAGTATTGTTCTCTGATAACAAAAAGCAGTAACGAAAGGACATATTATCATACTCATTATCGAGGGATACATAGCTTTTTGAAAGACAAAGAAACAATAACATGTTATTTCTCACGATAATTAAATATTATCATAAGATTTTGAAAAGAACGGCATCTTCAAAAAAAAAAAAAGAAAGAAAGAAACCATGTTTGGCGAATACAGTAAGATTTGCAGTGTTACGCCTTGTATTATGGACTGGGTCATTGCTTGTCCTGTCACTGGGGAGAGATACAGAAAAAAACCTTACAGTTTTACTGTACTTCGTTATCGTCTTTCCATGTCATAATTTCACAAATGTTTTCGCCACTAACGTCTTTGGCGTGGCGGTTAGGTACGTTGTTATCGCACGCACGACACCCTAGTTCAATTCCCCTGTGAGAAGAATATTTCTATCAGTATCTCGGGTTTTCAGCTGGGGTGTTGTTTCCTTCTCTGCCCTGGTTGGCCCCGACAGGTAGGGTTAGAAGCCAGCCTCCTAAACTATTTGTTTTTATAGTAGAGGGTTTTACGGCGCTCGCAACTGCATAAGGTCATATGAGGGCCAAAGCCTCCTAAATGACCCAAATTGTGTTGATGGGAGCGTAAAAAGACATGTACAATAATTGAGAATTTAATCGAGAGTTTCCTTCTCCCACCATATGGAAATCACCGTTATACAACTTTTCTCATGACAGATAATCTTACTTTCTCGGCGGTTCTGGTTCCCCTATTCTCTCCCCGTCCCCATTCTCTTTCTCTCTCTCTCTCTCTCTCTCTCTCTCT